TATATCTAATGAGACAGTAACGAAGGGTGAAGGCAAACGCGATAGAACTTCTATTGCTACCAGAGATTTGTGAGAATAAAAGTTTGGAATTTTTCAGAGAATTAGATGACATATAAGAGATGATCGTACTGGAAAAGACTCTTGCCGGTTTCCCATATGGAGCCGGAATCGCTGCAGTCCTTCGGCGCCTCGGTGATCTTCTCCGTCTGATTCATCGTTCGCAACGCGGACACGAGGACGTATCTAAACATTATGCGGAGAAACGAATGCAGGAAAATTTCTACGGAGCCAATTGGAATTTCTTTGAAGTGAGAAAAGATAATCTTAAATTCACTTTCGATCGTTAATTATTCGAGATGTATAGTATCTAAATTCTAAATAAGCTATCTTAGAAAAAAATTGACCCCAGATAAAGGCAGATATTGCAACGCGATGAAAATCGGATCGGATAAATATAACAGTTTAGAGGATATACTGACAGGCTGTCGCTTATATGTGATTTTTCCTGGGTAGCGTTGATCAGCTTCAACCCCAGCAAACCATCCGGTGCGTTCGGCGCGTCCAATGCTTGCTCGGTGACGATCCACACGTAACCGGCGCCAGTCATGTTCAGATTGGCGGCGTCGTTGAAGATCACTTCCGCGTCCTTTTTCCTGTTACGCATTCAAAAAATTATATTTAATTGTGCGGTTTTAGATTATTATTTTTTTTAATATTTTATTATTTTAAAACAGAAATTTACTTTGCTTTAATATTTTTTAATAGAAATTTACTTGACTCTTCGACATTTTCCATTTTAATGTACCACAATTTTTAAAATTTCAACGTAAATGCTGATAAATACTTACGAGGCATACATGAGGCAGACTCTCGCTTGTGCGCTTTTCATCTCCCGCAATTGCTCCTCGAAGTTGTGTAATCCCGGTTCAAACTCGATAACTGATTCGACCTGAAGTAGTGATTTAGTGACAGAAAATTTTTTTTTTAATAATGCATGTATATAATGTATATAATGTAATGTATAACGTAATAATAACTATCGAGGAAAGTTACATAATTATTGATAAAATGTAGAGTTTAAATTAAATATAATTAATAATTTATATAGTTAATGAATATCGTAAAATTAACATAATCATATTAATAACGCAGTAAAAGATATAAACTAACATGCAACGTACCTGCACTTTAATCTCTACGTCATCCTCCAAATTCTGCGACGTCGTCTGGAAACGTCCGAGAAGCGCGCGGCCGTCCGTATCAGAGCTATGGATGAAGATGATCTTCATGTAGTTGAAGTGCTTCAGCAGTTCTACCCAGACATCCGCTTGATGGGAATACGGCGGTACAGTGCGCAAAAATGAGACATGGATGTTCTGAAAAGACGTCACGCGTTTAGTTACCGCAGCATCGTCAATCGAACATAATCTCGCAATGTGGAGCGCTTTTCATTTGGACACTATAAAAGGCGCGTTTAGTAATGCAATTAATTTTACAATTTTTTAAATCGATTTTCTCAAAAACATTGCAAATTTGTACGAAAAAAATTCTACATTTTCGGTTTAAAAAGTTTCCGTATTAATTTGCCTTAATTTTTGTACCGATTGTTAAATTCTGCAATTTAAGCTCTTTCGTTATCTTACTTTATCCGAGAAAGCAGAGTCCCTGGATGATATGCCAATCACGGGTATGTGATAAAAACCGCTCGTATAAGAAACCGCTGCCGGCGATAAGTCGCCCGTAAGCGGATGCGACACCACCACCGCGTACACCTGTTCGGCTATTAAAGAACGGCAGACGCTCAATGCGGTCCTGATAGGGTTGGAGTCCATCTCGATTACCGTGTGCTTGTATGTCACCCCTTTATTGACGTATTGGAAATCGAAATTGAGGTGCTGAAATTGTGGTATATATATGTATACATATAAAATATATCTATAACATATTGAATATATACTGGTTATATAATGTATAAGCATACTATAACGCATAGAACTCTCTTTAGGGATCGATAGATTTAATAATTATTATAAACAGTTATATCAATACATATATATATATATATATATATATATATATATATATATTACGTAAGTTTTATATATATATTTTTACACGCTATTATTACAAAATTATCATTATTAATCTTACGTCGATCGTTTTTTCGAAGTGCTGTTTGCTATCAATATTGGAGAGAACGCCGCCGATCTTGAAATACCTTGGATTGTTATAGTTCATCGTCCTGGCAAGAACGAGTCCTAAACGCGGAGCATTGTGTAAAATAATGAAGATGAGAGACAGCACAGTCTTTACACGTAATTTCGCCATCGTGCAGTTACTCTGTAAACAAATCCCTTCACGATAAGTCAACGGTGAGATAATTTATAATAATATATATTTCTTTCAATTTAATATCTAATACACTTATAAGTAATTTTAATGAAAGATTGATTTGTATTAAATTAATTTTCTTCTCATTAAAATTAAGAAAATAATGAAAAATATTTTTAAAAATCAATATTAATAGTGTTTAATATTTTAATACAACATGCCTAAGGTATAATAAATTATGACGTAACTTATTACAATTTACAATCTTAGATATTTTCGATAATAGACATCAGATTCAGCTCTGTAGAAAATGAGCTTGGAGTGGAGAGACTATTTTATCAACAAATGTATTTTATTTGACAAAAATATTATTATGTTTATTGCTACCGGACCTCATTATTTCTAAGGATTAAAAAGAGTAACTATAGGTCATTGATGAGTTTTCATCCGTTTCTAAAGTAAACAGCCTCCGCCCATTTTTCATGATGAAAGTTCCTCGTATTTTCGCAATGTCAAACAAAACATTATTTCAACTCGTGCTCTTCTATGCGTTTTCTTCGCTTTCGAATATACATTTATGTTCGAAGCTTATGTGTCTACTACAACTAGAATATAATTTAACTTGTATATTTATTTTCTTGCGTTGTACAAACACGTATTTAAAATAATCGCTGTTGTTGTTGAAAATTCTCGCTGGATTTTTAGTTGTGGTACACCTATTTTAAAAGAAAAAAGCGACTTAATTACTCACGTATGACTTCTGATGCTTTATTATATGCACCCTATCTTAGATATCTCGTCCGCGACTCTCTGGAACGAGACGGATCTCCAAGGATCCACACTTGGAGTCTACTATTTATTACATGTCAAAATCGGTCCACGCCCGAGGGTAGCGCACTTTGGAACAGCCCAAGCGCTAATGCCGTGCCTCGAGATAGAGCGCGAGCGCAGGGGATGTAGTCGGAGATTTGTCATTGATCCAGTTGGATGCTGCGCGTAGAAGTTACCCCCGCCACACCGAGGTTCGATCGAGAAATCGCCAAATTCAAATGGTACTAATCGAAATAGTCGCTGCGGCAATATGTATTTCGACGTTTAATTACTTTTATTGTTATTATTTCCCTGAAAGCTTTCTATTTACTGTACAAAGTTTATCTATAAACAATTTGACGTATAAATATTATTAATAGGAGATAGATTAATGAGACAAATACATTCTTTTTTTGTGAAATTAGCAAATAATATTGAATAATTCTAGATTAAATAATGACATATCACAGTCTCCTGTGATTCATTAAATCTTATTCACGTGTATAATTAAATTATATCTAGATGCAGAAATTCCCGAAACGATTATCTCTGCGCAAACTTCTTCCACAATTGCTGTGTACCAGGTAATTACGGCAATCGAGAGCGAGCAGTGCACGCTAGATGACGTAATGACGAGCGAAGGCCGACGTCGGGGAGACAATCAGCTTAAACCGCAATTCGAAGCGCTTTCTAATGAGATTTCGGACGCAACATTTTGTGAGCGATTAGCAATTTACTTTAGGTTGAGGAAATACCAGCCTCGTAGAAATGATACGTTTGACAGTATGTAAATTTTGCGATTATCAAAGTGCTCATTGTATTTCTATGAATAACTATGAATAGTACTTATTATGTCTCTATGAAATGTAGATTATTCGACTACATTACGAAACGTCGTATTCGAAAAGTTTCAATTTCGAATAGTCCTACAATAGATGATATATCCCTCTATTAAAACGTTATAAATGTTAAAAGTAACATATATTAAAAGCGATTTTCTTACAGAAATACTTTTGCTCCTTAGAACAATATTTTTTTTCAGAGCAATTTTATCCGATTACATTTTATATATACAAAATCTCAGAAGTAGTAACTTTTCTATCGTTCTTTTTTAAAGTTTTGAATTTCTGCTGGATTTAATAAAATACGTATATCTCTAGACGTATAAACAAAATATACATCTCTAGAGACATGAATGTAAAAAGTGTGTTATCTTTAATCGATAATCTTTTGACGTAGAGATATGATTGTAGAATCAATTTCGATAATTTAAGGAATGTCGATTTTCTCAGATTTCATTCAGTTGAAACTCTACATGCAAACTATTTACTTCAAGAGTAGTGCTTAGATTTTCTTTTCTCTTATTCAGAAATTTCTCATTTCTTTGTGTAGAATATATCAAGCGTGATATAAATTGTGTTTCATTTAAATATATTAAAATTTGTTTTATTGTTTTAGAATCAAGTTTAATTCAAACATTTCGGTTGTTAACGTTCTATATAGGAAACGCTCCAAATGCAACTCATCGGTCTCTCTCTCTCTCTCTCTTTTCATCAGAATCTCGTATAGTTCCATATTCATGTAACCCAGTTTCGCCCGTTTCAAAAATGATGGCTCTTGTCTCGCGTCCATTACACGCGCGTGGTTTTTCCCCTGTCAGTACGTTCGCACGTGGGTCGCGGGTGATTTCCGCGAAGATGCCTTTGCGCGTCAGCGTCACCGACGTATCGATCCCACTGTAAATTTCCAGTTAGTAGCAACCCTCCACCAGTCTGCGTGCGCACCCCACTCGTGTTCACCGAGAGAGTCTCAGTCCACATCATAAAGTCGAGAGAAGTGCTTTGGCAGCCAGACAGGAAGACGCTGACCGTCGAACGTTGACATTTCTATTTCTCAAGTTCAAGTTTGGTCGCAGGCTCGTTTTTTAAATACAAACGAAGCGACACCAAAGCCCTCCTCACCGGAGGGTCTTGCGATACAAACAAGAGGAAAGAATTGGACACAACAAGGATTGCGCGATCATAAGCCCCCCTACGACAGGTGGAAATCGCGTCCAGGTAGAGACAGGTAGAGACAGGGTTCCGTTCTCCAATCAGTGGAGAAACAGGCGAGGGTGAACAGCAGGCGGTGAACAGAGAGCGAGAGAGAGAGAGCGAGGAAAGAGAGCTCGAGGAGCCGTCGGACGAGAGACCAGAGAGACCAATCGAATAAACCACGGGCAACCAAACAAGCAACACAATCCAATGTATAACGGTCCCCCCGGTTCCGCCGAGGAAGCCGCCGAGGAAACATGTCGCTACCACGGGAATGGAGCTTTCAGGACGCCTGTCGGGCGTCGAGCCTGTTGGCCGACGTCGACTTCGACGTCCCCACGGCCGCGTCCCAGGAGATGGCCGTCACCGGCAGCAATCCCATCGACGAGAATATGAATGATCAGCCGGCGACTCAGCTGGGCTCGCTGTTCTCCATCCACTCGGCGCCGGTGTTCGACCTGAGCAGCAGCGTCGCCACCGGGGTACCATCGCCGAAGCGGCCGGCGTCCCTGGCGGTGCAGACGACGGCGACGTCGACGCCAGTCGTGCCGCCGCCGCACCTGCAGAGCCCCGAGGGCACCGTCGTCGAGGACGAGGACAACGACAACCTGCTGACGATATCCAGTCTCACTGCCCGGCCGCTCATCGCCAAATCTAGAGAGCTCAGGTCGGTGTCGGAGTGAATATTGTCGGGGGTGTTTTCACCAGGTATCGGCAAGACGAGCGCCGATTGTGTACATGCTTGTTTGTACAACTCACATGCATTTTATTCTTTGTTCAGCCCGCTATTTATCATAGTATTAAACTGTTGCATGCAAAAAGTATCCTTTCTATCAATGATTTTCCACCAAGCGATTTTTTAAAGAGAAAATGTGTAGTTGAAAAAAATGTAGTAAATTTTATATAAACATATATAAATCTTTAAGAAATATAAAGATGTAAACAGTCGTTAATGTTTAACTTTAATTCGCGCACGTTAAATTTTGCATGCAAATATCCATTTTTCTTACGATTGTCTTACGTTAAATAGATTGTTTCTGTTTTGTAAACGATAACTGTTGAATTATCATCTTTCTTCCAACTTACCCTATTTTCTAAATATGTCAACAGATTAAAAAAAAACTTAAAATTATCAAATTTAATGAGATTCATTGCGTAATGTAGTCACGGGTAGTTTTACATTTTCGTAATCTGCAAGTGATTATACGCTCGAATAACAATATCGAATAAATCCAGATCCGCCAGGTATGCGGCCCCGAAAAGAAGAAAATCGCGGCAGAAGAACGAAACCAGGAAACCTCGGAACACCACGTACGTCCCTCTGGACGGCGGTTACGGCTGGGTGGTGGTGTTCGGCGCTTTCTTCGTGCAGTTCTGGGTAGCCGGGTTGGTCAAGTCCTACGGCGTGCTCTACGTCGAGGTCATGGAGACCTTCAAGGACTCATCCGCCTCGGTCGCGTCCTGGATACCAGCGATTCTGACATGCCTATGTCTAGCGCTTGGTAAGTCGTCGTTTCAGTCGTTTCCTCCGTCGCCCTCCGGCGACTTCCGTTTCTCCGGAGGAAAAAAAGAGCAAAAGTCGTCGGGCGAAGTCGTCTATCGAGACTGACCTTGTCCGTTCGCGTCGATATAACGTTTAATCGAGGCACGCTAAATCGATATTTCGTTTCGCAGCTCCGGTGACGAGTATGCTCTGCCAGAAGTACAGCTGTCGGACGGTGGTTTTCGTGGGCGGACTTTTCTGCGCTCTAGGACTTACAACTAGTTACTTCGCCACGCGATTGATACACCTCTTTTTTACATTTGGAGTGCTGACAGGTTTGCACTTGATCAATTTCAATCTTGCTGCCACACCATTCCCTCAGTCGCATTCTGCATCTTTCGCACTGTCAATATTTTATTGAGAAAACAAAGTGAAGGGTATCCTTACTTACTACAGGTATCGGCGGTGGTTTGTCGACGACGCCGGGTATAATCCTGGTGTCGCAGTACTTCGACAAGCATCGTGCCCTGGCGAACGGGATCTGCGTGTCCGGCACTGCCGCGGGTAGCTTCGTATTCCCGCTTCTGATCGAATTTCTGGTGAAGGACTTCGGCTTTCACGGGACAATATTGCTGCTAGGCGGTTGCATGCTGCACGTATGTGTCAGTGCGACACTGTACCGACCACTGGACGAAAATTATGCCCCTGAGGAAGAGGTCTCGGTGGAGAAGATCGAAAAGGAACTGAAAGATCAGGTACAATTCGAATTCTCCACTGATACTATTATTATCTATTATTGATATTAATATTTATTATGTATACACGGATTATTCATAACGTATATAATTATTTTCCTTATAAAAGATTGCAAATGTCCTAGTTTTTTCATTCTGTTCGTAGCTAGATATAAAACATGCAATAATAATAATCGATATCGGCTGTAACAAATCAATGATAATTTATAATTCATCGGCGTTTTCGCAGGATCAGGAGAAGTCGAAGCAACAGAAATTGGAATTATTATTCGCCAACGATCCGACTGCCCGGCACAACATGCTGAACGAGCTATTTCACCAGAACAGCGGCGTGGTGGCGGTCGAGCTGACCGACAGCGAGGAGGAGAAGGACGTGTTGGGCGAGGGTCTCCGCATGAAGCCGATTTCCAAGATTCGCAGCTCCAGCATCCTGCACAGCGTGGAGGACTTGTCCACGGACTCGACGTGCGTGTACAAGGCTGCCCGGTCGTCGCTCAGATCGTTGAAATCGTCCGTGACGGCGACGGGTCCGCCGGAGCAGCAGCAGCAGCAACAACAGCAGCAGCAGCAGCAGCAGCAGCAACAGCCGCCGCCGTCGCCACCGACGAACAGGATGCCGTCTTTATCGCTGACAGCGTCGACGGACTCCAAGATCACGTTCATGCAGAGACTGACGCGCTATCTCGACCTCTCGCTGCTGAAGAATCCGCAGTTCATCATGATGTGCTTCTCCGTCAGCCTGATGTCCACCGGCAGCCCGTACATGCTGTACTACCTGCCGGCGTACGTTCACGCCGCCGGTTACACGAAATCGGAGGCCGGCTACCTGGTGGCCATCTCCGCCGTTCTCGACTTGTGCGGCAGGCTCGGCCTCGGCTGGCTCTCGGATCTCAAGCTGTTCGACCGGCGGAAAGGATATATCGGCAGGTGAGCGGCATTTCATTCACGTGCGACACACGAAATCTCGCGGATCTCTATACGAGGTTTCGGAAGAATTCGATTCACCCGTCGTATAAGACAGACTGAGACTGATCGTGGAATATCGCGCTAATTGATGTAGAGAAACACAATTAATTATGCTCCAAACGAAACTTACTATATACTTAATTCTATTTTCAACCAATAAATTATGAAGATCGACTTCGGGAAATATTTAAATAGATCGCTTCTGACCGTTTCACTCGCGATGTGCCCAGATTAGGTACAATTCGTCGCGTTTAGAGGATATTTTGGAAACCTGACAATTATTCTGGGATACCATCATAATCACTCCGATCTGAATATTTAATAAACGATCATTATAATTATCCCGATACGATATCCGCTTTAAATATCTTCAGACAGATTTTTTTCCGTGCTGAGGTCGACGAAAGCATTACAACTATTGAATTATCGAGTAAAAGTGTCTCTTTTTGTCGTCGAGCAGCGTGGTGGGTGCTGGCGTGGCGGTCCTAGCGATTCCGATGGCCCACTCCTTCTACGTACTGGCGTGTTCCGTCGGCATGTACGGACTGTGCCTAGGCTGTTGGTTCCTCCTAGTTCCCGTCCTGCTCGCCGATCAATACGGCACCGACAAAATATCGTCCAGCTACGGTCTCGTGAGGATGTTCCAGAGCTTCGGGGCGATCTCCATTCCGCCTCTTGCAGGTACGCGCCGCTTTCCCGCCCCGGAACTGCACGCTGCAATCATTTTCCCCGAGGCAGCAAAAGTGCCCTTTCATTCAGATCGAGCAGATTCCCTTATATTTTTCTTCTCCCTTTAATTTGAATTCATCGAACTGTCTTGTGTATGTAATCATGGAAAAGTACAGAGAAAATATTGAACCGTGTATTGCACTATATATTGCTATTAATTATCCGCATAACTACGTCTAAGAGTGCGGAGATAAAAATATAAAAGCTGCACCCGTACGTACACGTGCACGCACTTACGTGTGTATAATGTATATGACCACCGCTAAGGTCTTCTCAGGGTTGCTCTCTATTTCACTGCTTTTTTTCTAATAAGTAAATAACGGCCGGTGTGTGTGTAAAACACAGGATAAATATTGAGATTTTTAGTCGCCGGACAAGATGTTATGTCTAACAATAATCTTTTTGTGAATTTTTTTATACATTTCATCTTTTCATCACGCGTGACTCTCGTGTGAATGACTGTTTTTTTTTTATTATTTCGAGATTATTATTTTTGAAAATTAATTATCTCGAATTTTTTTTCTTTTTTTTTAGATCTGTTTTGTCTAGTTTTCTTATTTCAGCTACATCATGTAATTCTACTTTAATACATTTTTTATCTCTAGACTTGTACGTTGCATACATATTGATTGCTCGGATGATTTTAAAATAAATAGAATACTGCAGTCATCTAAGCCATTAATTCGGAATCGATTTTTCTTTAGAGAAAATGTCAACAGTATTCGAGTTATAAGGGATTAACTATTGCATAATTAAAAATGGATAACATTTTCGCAAAGTGAACTTCCACAGGAAAAGATAAATAGCGAAATAATATTTCTTATTTAATTTCAAACAAATTTTAAATTAAATTGTGAAACACAAGACAATGATAAATTACAATATTAAATTTTGTCAAGAAAAATGGATTGCACACATTAAAATATTTATATCCTTGAAATATATGTGTTTGAATTTTACATATTAAAATACATTTAAATTGATGTATTTAATTCTCTTCATGTGATTCCCTTTTTTTCTCTCTGGCGATATAGTTATATATTTCTATAATTAATTTTTATGATTTTAATTGCCATTTATATTATACAGATTGGATAGTAATTGATGATATTCTTCCAGGTTATCTTCGCGATGTGACCGGAAGCTACACTGTGTGTTTTCTGTGTATGGGTACGTGTATGGTTATAGGGGGTTTACCTCTGCTTTTGGTTTTCAATGAGAACCAAACAAACCCAACAAAGCTGCCCGTAAACGCTGAGAATAACAATCGTCACGGGGACACTACCATCAAAGGGTAAATTATTTTGAAAATGTGATCGTTGATTATGAAGTGATTTAATGTGTAATAGGAAAATAAATAAATCGTAACAGTTGTAAAAAAAAAAAAAAAAATTATAACGCTTATTGAGAATGTCTCCAAAGTTGACTCCCTGCTCCTTTTCATATTGCAACAGAATATCTTTATCAGATAAATGTAATTAAATATTGATTAAAAATTGGTATATCCACGTTCTATTTATTTATCTTATCATTCTCAGATTATTCTTTAAATTCTCGTTGCACTTTAATGCTTCGAACACACACATGCTTCTGTCACGTATTCTTTCAAATAAATTTAAGTAACATTCGGTAAGAGTTTTAAATTATATGTATATGTCTTATGAATATGTAAACAAGAATGTTCGTGAGTCTCATCTACGGTAAACGTGTTGAATAAGTAATCTCCAAGAAGTTTCCTTATCCTGTCTTTATTATTTACATTTTACATATTATAATTATATACAAAATCTCTTCTCTTATTAATTCAATGTTCTTGATGTGAACATTTATATAAAAAATGATTATAAATGAAAGGGTGACTACTACATAGATAAGTAAATTGATGTTTCAAATGGGTATGCGATATATTTAAAAAACGATGGGTATGTGATATATAAAAAAACGATAAATAATCTATATCTACGATAGAAATTTTTTACAATATAAATACAATAAATCCTTTTTAATAGACCTAGATATTTACACGTTGAGTCATGTTTTTTACGTATTTCTTTTCTTTTTAATCTTCAAGATAGATATTTGTATATGAATATAATGCTACGAATAATCTCGGAAGATTTTGTTTGTCAAAGTGTGTAAAGTCTATATTTGCATTCGTAAGCGCTATATATGGCAGTCCGATTACGATTGCAATTTTCCGATATTATCCGTGATCTACCTGTCAAGAATTCTAAGAATAATTTTGAGAATCAGATTATATTTAGCGCTAAAGGTGGAAACACAAATAGTACTATTTGTACGTATAAGAAACGTATATAATCTAGAGTTACACATTCCATACTTTGAGATAGCATCACAATTCTCAATCACAATGAAAAAAAGAATCCATAAGGATGCTACATGAAAAATTACGTCGGAGACTTTCATGGCAGTTATTTCTGTATAGGGACGAATATCGATGTAAAGTCTCGGTAACTTCAATACTCAATACCAATAGAGGACAGCGCATTGCACTGAGTAACTTCATTCCATCCGCCTTTTCACCATCATGCATATGATAATTATGTCAGACTAAGTCATTGAGATCGTCAAAGGAATATTTACATGAATCTACACTTATTGCAGATTTCACGTGGGCTTCCAAGCTACCACTCTCATCTTGTTGTTCAGTTCTTGCAATATGAGGGAACAAGTGAGCTGCTTCTCTGGTGACAGTCCATTGATCCCGTCCATCTCATCGTCATCGTCGCCCATACCGCTGTTACTGCCACTTTTGCCTTTTCCCTTTCCCTTTCGTTTCTTCTTTTTATTCAACTGTCGACAATCGATATCGGTTGCATTGTCCGTAGTCCGTCTGATCTGAAAGAATAAAATGAAACATTTACACGCGCATTAAGAATATTCTTACAAAATATTCTTTAAAAAATATATATATACAATACAATATTATTATACATATTTAAAAAATATTATTGCTACGCCCAATATTAATATACAAATATTAATGTTGGGTGTAGCAATAATGTGAACTGAGACAGAATCGCGATCTAATAAATCTGTGCGTATACACACACAATACAAAGTGCAGTGTTAATATTAAAAGCAATATTCTATTCTACCTTGGCACTTTTTTTCATCTGTTTGTCATATTCCAAAGCGTCATAATAATTTGGCTTCTCGCGTTTAATTCGATTCGTTCTTCTTGTCTTCATCACGCCACTGTCGGGGCTGGGTGGACTCTTGATAGAGTTGCGACGTGCATTGAAAAAAGAATGTCCGCAGGGACAAGCTTTGCAGGCAACGGGTACCTTATTGTAAAAGAAGCAATCAAATTTATTAATAGCGATATTTCTTGGCATGCAATTCACATACATATATATCAGCAAAGATAAATATAAAATATTCCAAATTACGAAATTTATATCAAGTTCTTAAAATAATATATTATTAATAAAGTTTTTTTTCATAATTAATAATAAACAAATATTTAATAATTTAACCGTATGTATTTCTAATTTAATTAATATAAACGAAACCACAAATTCACGCAGCATTTGTAAAAAAAAATTATTTCACACATTTTATTCGATACACTTTGCTTACGTTTTCAATATTAAATTTGATTGAAAAAATTTAATCAAAAGTGAGAAGATTACAGAAGCGTAAAATAAATAATAAAAATAAAAACTAATTCGTCATTGCGAGCGTGGAATATTATCTTACATAAATAGGACGTGATTTAATAAATGTACGAAAGACACATATTGCATTTGTGTGTATGTGTGTATGTGTGAATAATATTAAAGCAAATTGTATAAATTATTACACACAACGGAAACGTGTATAAATATACCTGCTGCTCGCATTTGGGGCACCCCTTGCTAATCGTCTTAGTCTTGGCCATACCTCGATCCGCACTGCTTCCAACGACAGAGATTATTTCCGATTAGGAAATGTAAACATGACAATCGTAACAAAGAAACAAGCAATTATGGCTTTTTGATGCACGCACTCAGCGACCCCACCATTCTCCAAATAAGTATTGAAACTCCGTAGGTAACTCTACGGAAGCGATGTCGAGACTGGCGGCGCCGTCGACGATTTTTTATTTACAAAGATCGGTAAGGCAACGAGCGCGCTTATCGACACATTTTTTTTTTTTTAATAAAATACAAAAATTTAAATTCAAACATCAAAAAGGCAAAATATCGAAAAAGATAGAGGATCTCCAACTCTGTGACATTTCTGTGTATTCACGCAGGTATAATTATTTCCCAATATAATTCTCGTCAGTCCCGTTCCTCGAGTCCGTACTCCGTCGAGGAGGGAGAAATGGGACCTCTCTCGATCCGTTCGGTGGGTGGTGGAACGAACGGTTCGGGATACTCTAGTGGGGGATACGCGAGCGGTCTCGTAATCGCGGCGACCGCGTATAACATACAATACGCCTGGCGTTCTCGCGTAGACACAACAAAACTACGAGGACTCGACTCGCGCGCGCGGAAACCACCGCGTTCTCGTTCTCTGCGCATGTGCCGTTAGATCCGCGGGGGGAAGAGTGGGAGGATCGAAGGGATTATATCTCTCGGGAATGGAGAGGAAGTGCTCTCGTGGTTCCGTTCCGATGTGACTGCTGGATGGTGACCTCGGGGAAAGCGTGCAGTACCGTGTGCCGTGCGCGGAGTCTCGCTCGTCAGATCTCGTTTTCGACTGGGACGTGTGCCGGAGTCGTACGTCCTGGGGAGGAGGACCCGTGCGAGAACGCTCGTCATCGTCGCGCGCGCGCGCGGAGCGTCAGGAGTCAGCTAGAGGAAGAGACTCGGAGGAGTGACGGATGAGGTGATGAGCGGCGCGCGGTGAACGCGCGGGGAATCTCGGCGGACGGTCAACGAGGAGAGATCGTTGTTTACGTTCCTTTCCGAGCGTACTCCTCGCGGGATTGAGCTCCGTATATAGCGAGCTAGGAACCACCTTGCTCTCCTTCCGCGTGTCCTTTCCACTCGCGCGGCCCGAGAGCTTGGCGTTACCGTTCGACAAGGGAGGTGCTCCGGATATCATCTGGAAGGAGAGGAGAGAGACCGCTGCTGTCGTCGTCGTCGAAACGCGCCGCGCGAGCGTGTGCCCACCTCCAAGCGATCTCTCGTGATCCTCCGGGGGACCCGCGAGAGCGACGATAACACGCCTCTCCCGACTGTGAAATGTTTTGCAAACGCCCTGCGAGGGACTGTCCTGCGAGTACTTAATTCCGAATCGCGGGCGGAAGGAGGAGGCGGCCTTGGCTGTGATCGCGATCTGATTTCCGCGGAAGCTCCCGCGCGAGACGTCGAAGATGTGACGCGTCGTTTCGACAGATTGTTATACGTTATTCTTTCTGACGTTTAAAGGAGAAAAAAAAAGAAAAAAATGACACGCGCAGCGACCGTGGTTTTCGTGTTGATCTCCATCAGCGTATCCGCCTACGAGCATACCGCCGCGGATCAGTGCGACTGGTCCGGAAGGTTTGTATTTTTTGTTTCCACTGGTGACACCAGTATTCGTTTTGCTCCGTTTTTACCCAATGCGTGGATTGGCTCGATCTCAGTTTAACGTAACACTGTTTGTCTTTTCCAATTCTTTAGAACTAGAAATAGGAAAAGATAAAGAAGGTAAGTTAAACCGAGATTAAAGTTATCTACACGCACACATTGGTAGAAACGAACAAGAGTCTCTATCTCTCTCTTTCTCTCTCTTCGCGTTTGACAACTTTCACGAGTCAGTGCCGTAACAAACGCGCGCGATGGTTTCAAGTTCTCAGCTGTGGTCAGAATTGAATAAATTATCGTGACTGTGACATCAACATGTAATTTTCTGCTTTTTAAATTTCATTTTTTATTTTAATATTTTTTAATATTTGTACTAATATAAATAGTATAAAATAATATATATGATTCAATGTTTATCATATATAATTTCAACATTTCTAGTTGAACATATGGCAGGATATTTAATATGAATTATTCTTTCCTTTTTTCGTAATTTTAAATAAATAACGGTCGTTTCTCTCTCTTTCTCATTGTAACAATTTTAAAAATAGCGATGCGTTAATTAATATGTAAATATTTTAATTTCATAGCGGAGGAGAGAGCGGTGGTGTCCGGCCGGTGTATCTGCGCTGCGCCCGGGGAACGGTTCTGTGGCGCTATCCTCATGACGCTCTGAGAGTGGTCCTCTCCTCGCCGGTCTCGTTCTTCGAGAACAATTCCCTCAGCTACCTGGGTTTCCGCGCCTGCGTCAAAATCTCTGGGCCCGTACGGGTCTTCCTCGAGGCGGACGGCAAGCTGCGGCAACTCTACTCCCCGTCCGACGGCAAGCACGAACTTACGCACCGATGCTTCCGCTCGCAGAAGCGCACGGCCGCGCTCTACATGGAGGCGGAGGACGATTACTCCTTCAGGAACGCCAAGGTCAAGCTGCAGTACGACCTGGAGCCGAATTCGGTGAAGGGGGGCACGCTGCGCGTGCCGGACGAGGAGGAGGAGTGCAGACCGTGCTCCATGGAGGAACTCGCCAAGGCTTATTGCCAGAGCGATCTGGTCGCCAAGGGCACCGTCACTGCCGTCGAGCAGAATCCCGAGATGGACACTGCCGAGCTGATACTTAGGGTCATCAAGATCCTGCGCTACGTAGCTCAGGAAGCCGAGGTAAAGCTTTTCACAAGGCGAGACGTTACTCCGTCGTTTGGTTTCTCTGTCAAGCTCTTCACGTAAGTTTAACGTACGTAGATCTCAATTAAAGATACAACGCTTTATTGCAGGGTAATGAAATTGACGCGTCTCTGAAGAAGAGCGTACGCGTGAGAGTACCGATGGTATGCGACGCGCGGCACGGCCTCGGCGAATTTGTGATAATGGCCAAACGACGCCTCGGCGACCTCACCCTGGTGTGCGCGCCCAGACTGGAGGCGTGGATGCAGATTGTACGCGAAATGGACAACGCGCCCTGCGTTCTCCACAGTTAGCCGATTCGGGGCCGATTTTCTTTGGAAGGAAACGCGAGGAAACGGTACACAATAGATACGAGCACAGCTTTCGTGTTGCGAAATTGAAGTAAATACCGTGAGAGAACTGCCGGTCCAACTGTTTGTACGAGGATACCTTGTATATAGGGAAACGTCATTCTTTGTGTACATACACATGTCAGATTGTCGATCTCCAAACTGTGATATTACTTGTTGTTTATTAAGAAGAAACACGAAGGAAAAACGTGCACAAAGAGACAGAAAGAGCGCGCTTGCCTTAAGGGGATCCTCGTTTGTTTTATCGATGAAACAAACTAATTTTTGTACAATGTTTTCATATGTCAATGTTGCTTTTACAGATCTGGAAATCCTTTTACAGAATTGAATTAATTATAGACAATAACGCAACGCGGAATGGAACGATTTTGTATAAAAAAAAACTAAAAAGTTTTCAAAAAGTTTTTGTTATCAACTTCTAACGTTTGCTTATAAGAAGGATAAGAGTTTTATACTTTGTACGTATACAACTCTTGTACTTCTTATAAGGAAACGAATCGACGCTAGAAGTTAATAATAAGAAAATTTCGGAAAAGTTTACGTTTTTTTTCATTTGTATTAAACAAGCTTCATCCGCGATGGGGCTTATATGAAAGTAGAGTACCCGCTTTTACTAATCAGCCTAGGTGCTTCGATATTAGAGAAAACATTGTATGCGAAAATGCGTGTATATGTATGCGACATTGATGTAGTAGTAAACATAAACACATCGCTATTACATCAGTATCGCATGTATACATGCATGTGCGCAAATCGTCACGAAAACAGCGATGCCGGGGAGTTCGGTTTCCCCCTCCCCCCCAGTATAGGATCCTCTTAACACTTATTCTAGAGATTAGAGAAACCGTTATATATAGAATATATCCTATGCATCATTCGCTCTCCCTTTAAACTTCTTTTTCGTAATTCTTTATTCCCCCTCGTTTTCTCATCCTCCTTTCGCAACTGTTCATTTTCTCGTTTCATTTTTATAACATATTAAAATTTCGCTGCAATAAAATATATTTGAGATTATGCAAGGATTAAGATATATTATTGTGTATTTTTATTCCTTGAAGCTTTGGAATCCTTTCAATTACGTGTATCTTCGTTCTTTATCCGGGAGCAATATTAAACAGAGAAAGTGTGCAATGTGATTAGGGAATTAGTTACTCGAAATTTTATTGACGAGTAACCTGATGAACTATATATGTACATGTATTCGCTGCAGAGTGGAGCATATTTTTATATATTAATTACAATATAACAATTTTGTATAGATTTAATAAATAAAAGTATTTTATATAAATTCCAATACCAATTGGAATAGCTATTTTTGTCAAAATATATTTGCGATAATAAAGAAAACATTTAAAAATGAAAAGAAATTATGCATCTCTCTGTCCGTACTCTATGCTTTTAATATATAAAATGTGTTGTGTATATTCTAAAAACAGTTGTATCTAAATCTATTGATAAAAATGGCAGAGTTATAATTTAAAAATATAAAATTTAACGTATATACAATTGAACGTTAATTTACAATTTCATACGGTAATCTCAAAATATTTCGATATTATTTATTTAAAGGATTTCTAGGAGAGAAAGAGAGAGAGAGAGAAACAGTTGGTAATGTACAATAATTTATTTCTGCAAAAACTGTTTTAATATACCTCTGTGATTTAATTCTGGAACCATGTGAGAGAGATCGGCAACGGTACGAGTCTTAAACAGAATATCGTTTCAAAAAATCTTTACAAAATATATTTGCTTTATTGCAATTGGTTTTATATTTAAACGTATGAGAATTGGCCATCGTCGATTGTAATTTGTCTTACATTTTGATATAAAAAGCTTTTTGTGCATTAAAAAAATATCCGTGGTACTCTCTACAGTAACGCGAAAACACATCTCGCGTGGCTCTAGAATTTAATCTATATATAATCTCCCTGAGACACGCAAATACACGAACGCGCACGTATATATACATATACGTATATATATATTTTTTTGTATAGTATCAAACAAAATAACACAGCTCACAGATCAAGCTGGCTAGTAGATACAAACTGTATATTCGATTATACATTAATGAACATTTTGCTTTTTCTTTGCTAGTGTCGTTGAACGTGTAAAGTGATTCACTTAGCCGATCATTCAAGACAGAGGAGGAGTAATAAAGCCTTCTGCTATACACTTCGTTGAAGAGCCATTGACTATAAGTTTCTCAGTTTTCAACGGTCTACAGAGAAATTAAATTTACATATTTATTCGTAAGCCGACTGACACAGCACAACTCCGTGCTTATCGTGTCAACGGTCGCATGCGCAAAATTAATACTTTAAGATCGCGTTTGCAATCTGCGCGCGTTTATCGTTTCTATCATTTTTAATAAACGTAATTAATACGCTATATCGCGCGTCCTCTTCTCACTTTTCATTTTGCAATTGCCGATTGCAACTGCATCTTTTTGTTTGCACAAACCTAATTATTAGATTACGATCTACAAAGGCGCGAAAATCGCCTAATTTTCTGTTGTCTCGTTTCATTGCCTCATCATTTTGCCTCAATTTTATTTGCCCAAATTCACTGATTATTTAATTTCACTTTAACTCAATTATTTTACAATTTTAATAATAATTCAACAAAATTTCGCATCAGCTGCCTATATTAAATGACTAAATTCGACGATCACAATGACGCATATCCTTCCTTCCTCAAGTTATGGCGCACAGCATTGATATTTTACTCGATTTTATAAATTATACGACTAAACAAAATAAACAGCGAGGTTTGTACTTAACATTAATTAAATTGTCTCCCTATGTATATACCTCTTTCGCCCATATATCTTTTTACGTATTTTAATAAAAATAATGCTCACTCATAATAAACTTCGTCTCTCCCACCTTCTTTTTCATTGAATTTTATAAATGTAAAATAACGTATATAATAATATATCACAATAATTCCTCCCGCTTTCTTGTAGATGCTGTACATGGTTAATAAATGGTGATAAATAATGCAATGACAATATTAAAAAATTGTGTAAAAACCGCTAAAGCTACACTGTTATCTAAAAGTCTCTTCATTTTTTTTCGCAATTTTTTGTAAATATCAATTTCGGTAAATCACTGTATTGAAGAAAAATATATGATTTCTTGATTAACACACGACAGCGTTAAATATGTGTTGTTCACAAAATATAAATAAAAAAAAATAAAAGATATATAAAAGCTGGAGGCTATTTTGGCCGGCGCAAGATTCGTTTACGTTGCGGTGAAAGGATAATTTGGGCAGAGTGGCAGGACCAGATCGTCCATATTTGGTAGAACGACTAGTTTCTCGAATTCCCTGAGCAGCTTGTTCTCTATCCAGTTGCTCACGTACACGATGTTGACGGTCCTTTCGCCGAGGGTCGGTTGCACGGTGAGGGCAATCTTTGGCACTGATTTGAAACCGTACCACAGCCGGTCGGAGGGTGGCGGGGGAATGTTCACCAGGAGACAGCCCTCGATGCCGGATATGCTGACCATGAAACGGATCTCCGTGTTGGAAACACCCTCCATCGCCCTTCGTATGTAAGACAGCTCCGTAGCCTGTGACGCAAAAGGTGAATACGTTTAATTTGGCGTGAGCGCCTGCAACTTGTTTTCATGGTTATTAATAGTAACAGATCAACAGCTTAGCTGAGCATAATTACGACGTGATACTTACGTGTCGGAAATACTTGTTGGCCGTCAGCTTGTCGACCATGTTAAGAAACTTCTTACCAGAAGACTGTATTGGTCTGTAATATGCAAAGATCTATTAATTCTATCGTTTGCAATTTCATCGCAATACTTTTATATATTTTTTTCAATTTATAAAATGAAAAATTCTTAGATTTTGATCAATGTGAAGAACACATACATTGTGATATTAATCTCATGCATTTTTAATATAAAAGAGGCGCGTTTATTTAAGATCTACTAAATATCAGCCACGTGATTAAAAAGCAAAATCGATACAAATTGGAATTATGATTTAAACTAAGAATTCACTCACGTGGTCTCTTTAGATGCGACGTTCGACGCGACGTTTCCTATATCTTCGTCTTCGGTGGATGTCTCCGGACTGTCTTCTACATCGCTATCGAAAATCGGCGATCTGGTGGGAACAGGCTTCTCGTCAACAATGTCACTGGGTACGCTGCTTGCGCGCGTCAGCTTCATTAGATTCAGCTTCGTCTCTACAGTCATCGTCACGCTGCCTTTGTAGCTGATGTTCAAGTCGAACCAGAGCCCCCGCTCGTCGAGCGTCGGCTTGGCGACTTTATGAATCGTCGGAGCGTCCTGTCCGATCACCACTTCCGTCACGAGGAGGCTCTCCATGAAGTACGGAAGCTTTATGTTGGAGAGTTTACGCTGTATTTTATCCTGAATAAGATTGATCGTCTCTGGACAACTGTGCATATCGAATACCAGCCGTCCCAGGAGACAATTTGCCCAAAGGACGTCGCTCTCCCTTGGAGAATCATCAGGATCCGTCTGAAAAATAATCGTTCGGTTAGGATTGCGAAAGGATTCTGAAATTAAGTTTGATCATCGTGTTGCTTACATTCAGGTACTTGCTCATATAGGTACTGTAAGTGACTTCGGGAGAAGTCGCCTCTAGCGACTTAGTTTCTGCCACGTCCGACTGTGCAGAGATTGCATTCGCGCAGGATACGGAGTCATTTACGGAACAGATTGAATGTCGTTTCCTCGAAAGAGACGCCGCTGATGCTAATCTACGAAACCTGAAAGATCCTTCACTTATAAGATACGCTAATAATTAAAAAAAAAACCGGAAGAGCTCTAAATTATACTTTAGGCAATTAGAAAATATTAGAATCTTTATTATTTAAATTGAAAGGCCGCTAATAATAAAAAGAATACGGAAGAGGTCTAAGTTACACTTTAGAAAGTAATTAGAATCTTTATTATTTAATTGAAAGGCATTTTAGGAGAGACGTTACCAGTCTTCCTTCTCTCGATCGGCGCGTGCAAACACATAAAGTCTGCACTTGGTAGCCTCCTCGTTGTCGCGACAGTCCTCGTAGATACTCCTGATGGACTTTGATTGCGAAAAATCGTCATCGTCATCGTCTTCGTCGATCTTAAACTCATCCTCTTCGTTAAAATATTCCAATCTAGAATCCTCATCCTCGCTTTTCGTTTCCTCGCCCAAGGTGCTTTCCTCGATCTCCTGACTGGCTCCTTCCACTTGAATAATCTTCTTCTCATCATCGAAGGACTCCTTTCCGAGGTCTGTCCAATCGCTCAGACTCGTGCTGTCTACCAACGCACTTTGATCCAGCGTGATACAAATTGGATATTTCTTGCTCCATCTCCTGCGTAAAAAAAAATTTTTTTCTGTCATTTGTGTTTCTACAAAAGTATAAAATAATTATGTACAATCGTGGACAAATCGGTTGCGACACTTTTTTTTTATAGGTTTCTAATATATATTTAATATATATTTACATAATATATATTTATAGGTATCTAATATTTGCAAATGCGAACCACGATGTACTATCTTTAGAGACAGTCTAGAGACAGTATAACACCAATCGTGGTTCGCATTTGCAAAATATTAGTGCGTTTTAAAACCTATAAATAAAAAGTGTCGCAACCGATCTGTCCACGACTGTACGACGTGATCGCACACCTTCTTCGAGTGAGTCCTTCCGGTATCAACTCGACTTTCGCACCAGTGAGATTGTACACGCGTTTTCGGCTAAACTTATATTTTCGTTTCGGCTCATCCCACACCGCCCTCTTTGGTACTTTCATTCTGGTCTCCGTAACGCGCAGCACTCCACCCTCCAGACTGAAGAAAACCGACTTTGTGCGCGCCACGTGGTAGTTGTGAGGATCGTAAGTGTATGGCAGCTCGTTTAGCCATCCTTCGTATCGCTCTTGGACCGCGTGCTCCTCCGCTGCCGGTATCTCCAGCACCGGCATCGCTACGTGCGCAGGTTCCTTATCCAACGGCGTCGTCAAAATCTCCTTGATCCTCTGCACCAGCTTGTACACCACTACCGTGACGAATACGCCTGCGGAAAAGCCGACCAAGTGGGCGGGCAACGGAATGAGAAAGCAGAATGCGAGCACAAGAACCAGCAGCGCGGCTAACTGCTTCGTTAACAGTTGAAAGATATGATCCTTCGCGTGATTGAGCAACGCGTTGAATTTCACCTCTTTCGTCTGCACGTCTGCAGGCTGATTGAAAAGCCCACGACGGCACGTGACGTCGTTTTCCCGGCCGTCCTCGGCGCGAAGGTCGTCTTGCAACTCGTACGGGAGCGGCTCGGGAACGAGCTCGGAAGATTCAGCAGCCTCCACGCCACTCTCCACACTGTCGTCTTGCGAGTTTTTCGTTTTCAGACCGGTTCTCACCTGCGAGAAACCTACGAACCGCGCGGCGTTACCCTTACCGCGCGCGAATTCCTTGTCTTGCTGCCTGTCGTTGACTTTCTCATCGGTCGGCGTGACGTCCCCCAGAGTCTCCTCCGAGTCGCTGATGCTGGAATTTTCCTTGTTGTGCCTCCTCCTCTTCTTCTTCCTCTTGTCGCTCTTCATCTCGGACAGTTTCTCCTCCAACGTCTTCGTGATCTTTCCTTTGATCTCGGACAACACTTTCCACGGATCCGAGGACGGGGGGGTGCCCTCGAATGCGTTATCGTCGATGAAACGTTTCTCCGCGTCGTTCTCCATCCCCTGGCATCCATTCTCGCTGCTCTTGGAGGGGCTCGACGGTATTCTCTTGTCGGACTCCGGAGTGAGACGCCTCTCGTCGTCGGAGGAGCTCGGATAGAGCTCTTCCAATTCATCGTCGTTGGCTCGATAGTGGATCACTGGCACCGACGTGGTGATCGGTTTGCCTGCGACGGAGAAAAGGGATATACGAGGGTCAGCTGGAGCGCACGAGAGGCAGAAGATTTAAATTACTCTAACGCGACTTTATTGACATTTACGCATTTTTTAGACTTAAGTATAATAGAGATTTAGACTTGTCACCCATGTATAAAAAATATACGTTTCCAACTTACCTTTGATCATCCCCAGAGTGATCTTCCCCGGGCTGTATTTGCTACCCATCGCTATTCGCCTGGAGCAACAGCGACTGTCGTATCAGGAGCTTATCGACATTGGCATCGGTGCTGTTCGCGATCTAGAGAGATAACAAGTAGTCCCGAGGCCGTTTACTCACACGGGACAATCGGTCGAAGTCCGGCGGTGTCATGCTAAATGTGCCCAGATAACCAAGCGTGCGATATCCGCACAAAATACCACTATCGTACTGGTATTGTACTGCCATGAGATGGCGGCGTACGACGTAACTGTACGGTAACAGTACAAAAAGTATACATGATATTATGATACAAGCAGTACAGCGTATCATCACTGTACCTGTACTGCATATTGTTTAATAAAATATTTTATTATA